CTATCTAACATATCAATAACGGTTACAATTCAAAAGAAAAGCTGTTGGTTTAATCAACATAAAATCATAACAGCATTAAATAACTAATAATAACAACATTAAACCTGAAGCAAGAATTTACAAAATAAATTCGGAAAATTTTTTAAGAGAGTCATTGATGAAATATTACCCATAATAATAATACTGGTCTATTCCATAATAAATACTGCGCCTCAGGTGTAGGCATGGAATCAGTAGTTCAAATCGAGTCAGTAGTTCAAGTCGAGTCAAGAGTCGAGTCAGAGGCAGTCCGAAACAGAGTCGCGTTCAGACAATTACTACAAGACATTGGAATAGTGATACTGGTCGAGACTACATTATTCTCTCTACTAAACCTGATTGTTCATACTAACACTTCTACTTCTCTGTATATATTCCTGTTTGTAATATATCTGTGTTATTCCATATCCGTGTTCGAGTTCTTCTTTATTGATTCTACCTTGGACTATCACCGTGGTACAAGGAACCGGACCATAACATAATGTGACCATAATTAAGACTTTGAAAGGATTAAAAGAGAATACAATATCTTAAAGTGTAATCTATTGAAATTTCCCAAAATTCGGAATCATCTAAAAACAATATTGGTCTCTTTAATATGAAGTAATGATTAGCATGCTCGTCTCGCTAGATCAGTAACGACTGAATACTGATTTCGATCCTCACTGGGTGCTCCTTGCTTTTAGCCATGTGCCACATCTAAGCTACGCTTAGAAAAGGGGCACTTCCATGTGATGTATTAGTTACCCCGCTAGGTCAGTAACGACTGAATAGTGAGCTCGAGCCTCACTGGGTGCCCCATACTTTCGGCCTTGTACCACATCTAAGCTACGCTTAGAAAACGGACACTTCCACGTGATGTAATGGTTACCAAGCGTGCCCCGCTAGATCGTTTACGACTGAATAGTGAGTGTGATCCTCACTGGGTGCTCCATACTTTCGGCTTTGTTGCACATGTAAGCTACGCTTAGAAAAGCCACTATACGCGTTGGGCACTTCGAAGTAGTGTAATGGTTAGGAAGTGTCTCGTTATATCAATTACGTCTATGTATTGAGTTCGATCCTAACTTAGTGCCCCATACTTCCGGCTTTGTGTCACATCTAAGTTACGCTTACTTCAAAGTGGTGTAATGGTCAACGAGTTTGTCTTGCTAGATCAATTACAACTGAATAGTGAGTTCGATACTCACTGGGTGCCCCATACGTTTCTTTGTGCCGCCATCTAAAAATAACATTAACGGCCTACGCAACCTGTTCAGTTGACAAGTTATGAATTTCTTTTCTCTCACTTACCGCTTCACGCATTTCGAAACCCCTTTACCTGGCAATGAATCATGTATTTCAACTTCATTTTCCTCCTGTAAGCTATTTCGTCACTGAAGTTAGGCGAAGTATATAAACTAATAAAAGTTCAATTATCTGTGGACCGACTTCAAAGCTTCGCGGATACATTGCCCATTCAATTCAGGGACACAGATGAACCCAAGACCCTGATGGGCGGCGTTGAGTGAAAATTTGAAGTCGGATATTTCGATTGTACGTTGTATTACTTTGTATAGTGCGCATAACTTCAGGGAAGAAACAACACTTCATGGTGATTGTCAGCTTCCAGCCTCAGTCGATCCTCAAACTGCTGGCGAGTCAATAGTTTAACATCGCCATTAGTTTAACATCGCCCGAGGAGACACATTTCTAGTGTCGAAACATAATTGCCATTATGTAGCGATTTTTAACATGTTTTAATATCCTGTTATTATTTCTTTTAGGATATTATTTAGGATGTTTATTTACTTTGAGAAGAAATTTAACACGGCCATAATGTGCAGTGTTCAAAACAATGTCTAGATATATGCACACAACCTAATTAAAAAGTCAAAATAAAATCGCTCTTGATAATGGCTAAAAGTATAGCCGAAAATTACTCGGGATTACAAAACAGTTTCCACAAAGTCTGTGTCCAGAAAAGAAAAGACTTTTTCGAACACAAGAAAAATTAAATACAAAGCTTAATCGCAGTACCTTGTCTGTTCCATGAGCAGACGTTCTACTCATTTCGGAGATGTCTGAATTAAAAAATCCAAGAGGACTATTTGGGGTCCTCGTGGCAAGGTTAGGTTTAGGGTTTGGGTTAAGGGTGGGGTCCTCGTGGCAAGGTTAGGGTTAGGGTTGGGGTCCTCGTGGCACACAATGTATACTCGTAATTTGTATCAATATTTTCCCAAAATTGTGGTTGTTTCTTCACAAACTATCATCATATAGAATCATATATACGTAGTGTGGTTGTTCTGTCCGAGAAGCTGGTGTACTTCATACATCAAAGACGAGAATATAATATATATATATATATATATATATATATATATATATATATATATATATATATATATATATATATATATATATATATATATATATATATATATATAGTGCAGTTTAATTAATATTACAATGAATCATCCATACAAAAAGTAGGATGTCAAATCTAATGACAGTTGCCCCTAGGGAAACGCAGGTTCGAATCCTGCAGGAGAGTGCAATTTTTCTCTAATAATATTTTCGGATATTCAGGCCAGTAGACAGAAATAAACAAATATACTTTTAAATAATTAAATTCAGCGTCTACGAATGAATGATATATATATATATATATATATATATATATATATATATATATATATATATATATATATATATATATATATATATATATGTGTGTGTGTGTGTGTATATGTATATATATATATATATAAAGAGATTATATCTGTATGTATATATATATATATATATATATAAAAGAGGTTATATCTAATGAGATTGTATCTTGTGTCTTTCTTTCTTGCTCTTTTCTTTTCTTACTCTTTTTCGTGGGAAAAGAGGTTGTTTGTAAGTAAATCCTAATAATTGTAATAATCAGTCATTTAACAATTAATTAAATTGTAATGAGCCCTATATATAATTTATATCTGAACGTTTGAATTTATATTTGATTCTTTCTCATTTCGTACACACACACACACACACACACACACACACACACATATATATATATATATATATATATATATATATATATATATATATATATAGATAGATAGATAGATAGATATGTAGTAAATGAGAAAAAATCAAATAGGGCTCAATACAATTTAATAGTAGAGGAAAATTATTTATTATAGATTATTACATTAAAACATGTATAAAGCTGGTACATAAATGCACACATGTTTCAATGTGTATCATCACATCTCATCAGGCATTGGTAAATGAATGATTATTACAATTATTAGGATATATATATATATTTATATTTACATTATTACAATTATTAGGATATATATATATATTTATATTTATATTATTACAATTATTAGTATATATATATATATATATATATATATATATATAAAAGTGAACATAAAAGTCAACGCTTAGAGGCGACAGTCTGTTTCACGCTAGATGCATGAAACAGGCTATGTTCACTTTTATATTTACACACGCTCTATCTCTGATATAGAGCATTTTATCCCATAAATATAGCACATCTTAAGATTATATTTCTTCATATATATATATATATATATATATATATATATATATATATATATATATATATATATATATATATATAATAATTGGTTGGTGTATAATTATCAGGGTTTTTTTAGCCGAGTTATTTGTTAATAAAATTGCTGTTTTGATTACTTTTTTAAATAAAAATATTTTATTTTCAGGTTATAAGAATGCGTGTCGATAATCATATGCCCCAGACCTCATTGTCCACTTTTACATAAATAACAGTCTTTTGTACTGAATGAAGATGGACATTATTTCGAAGGAGACTGTGGAAAGTAAGCTATTACTTTTTATTCTAATGATAAGCACTTGTTTATCATCTTGTGTGCAGGTAGCTTTATCTCGTTGTATTTTATTTCCTTCTCTGCGTATTGCGTGCACGTGCTTGTGGGTTGGGGTCTGCTCACACGAGAGTCTCTGTCCAACTCTTCATTTCTGCCCTTTGCACACACTGGAGGTTTTGATATATATATATATATATATATATATATATATATATATATATTATATATATATATGTGCCGAGCTGTTGTCTCGTCGACAATCTTCTTTCCTAACTCGGACTGAGCCACCGGATTGACAATTCTCTCACGTGCACGTGATTTTTGCAACGAAGACCGACTCGCAGACATGCAATCTCTTTCAATTAAATATCTCTTCCCACCCACATACCTAACAGCAGCTCTGATGATTTCCCGGTCATTAATAGTGATTTCCTAAGCTTATCATAGACATGGCACAAGGCGGAAAGGTTTGGACTCCCAGTGAGGATCGAAGTCACTACTCAGTCATAATTGATCTAGCGAGACAAGATTGCTAACCATTACGCCACAACGAAGTGCTCAGATGATTTTCTAAGATTAACTTAGGTGTGGCACAAGGCTGAAAGCCTCCAATCTGCACAAGGCTGGTGAAACGAAAAAATAAATAAATAAATAAAATCATAGACAAGATTTTCTTATGATTCTCTGTAAGTCGGTAACCTTTCATCTGGTGGTAATGGCCAAAAAGCTGACCTTTTACAACATTATTATCAGGTTAAACTGAGTGTCCTGTAGTTAGAGCCTTTTGTCAAACAAACGCTATTACATAAGATCTCAGCAGAGGGTTAGTAAAAAGGAATAATCCTGACTGTAGGTACGGCGGTCACGCTTTTCTAAACAGGATCACAGTGTAGTATCTGTCTAATTATTGTCTGTTTTGGGCTGGAATCCTTTTCAGTTTCTGACCAAGAAAGCCACATAAAATATTAAGTGGTAGGAGACTGAAAAAGGCGAGTGAGAGGAGGAGGAGGAGGAGGTGTAGGGGGAGGAATAAATAATACAGTGAACGAATGACAGTCACGTGTTAAGAAAGACATAAAGAAAATTTAAAATACGGACGCATACCTATAGAGAGACGAGGAAAAAGGAATAGAGACGAAAGAAAGACATAAAGAGAGAGAAATAGGAAAAGGATGGAGCTGTAAGAAAGACAGAGAGGGAGAAAGGGAAAGAATGGAGACAAAAGCAAGACATAGAGAGGGAGAGAGAGAGAGAGAGAGAGCTGTAAGAAAGACAGAGAGGGAAAGAATGGAGACAAAAACAAGACATAGAGAGGGAGAGAGAGATGGGAAATAATGGAGACGTAAAAAAGACAGAGAGAGAGAGAGAGAGAGAGAGAATTGTGAGGTGGGAGACGAAATAAAGATGCAAAGACAGAAATGGGAGTTTTAAAGAGGAAATAATTATATGAAAAAACAAGAAAAAAGGTTTGGGGTTGAAAGAAAGACAGAGAGAGGTGGAGAGAGAGAGAGAGAGAGAGAGAGAAGCATGGAGGGAAAAAGAGAGGTAGCGAGAGACAAAGATGAGAGGGGATCGAGACGAAATGAATATACTGATACTGAGGTAGGGGAAGGGTCAGTTAGAGAGGAAGGAAGGCATACAGAGAGTAGAGAAGTATAGACGAAATAAAGATATAAAGAGAAAGGGGAAAGGAATGGCGACGAAAGAAAGACGTAAATAGAGAAAGGATAGTGGAGAAAGAACAGTGAGAGATAGATAGATAGATAGATAGATAGAGAGAGAGAGAGTTAGGGGGAAGTCGGGGAGAGCCATGATTGAAAGGTATAATGAGAAAAGTGAAAGCGATAGGGACAGAGAAAACATATAACAAGGAAAGGGGTGGAGGTGAAAAGAAAGAGAACTGGAAGAAAGGGACAACAACGATAGATATTATATATATATATATATATATATATATATATATATATATATTCATTCATTCATTCATTCATACATTCTGTTTCTACGTTGTTAAATAAAAAAATAAGTAAACGCTCTATTTATAACAAACGGTATTAACTATATTCACCAGCCTGAATGTCCGAGAAATTCCATAGAAAATATGTACTCCGACAGGAATCAAACCTGTATCCTACACGGCTTGATGTGCTATACCATTTAGCTACAGAAGAAGCGTCTGCTTACGAAGGTTGAATTACTTTTTTTAAACAACAAATTTCACATATGTTTTTTTAATTTGACTATGCTAACCAGACGCTTAATAGCTAAATGATATACACACAGTTCCGTGTAGTATACAGGTTCGATTCCTGTTGGCCGACAGAAATTTTCTATGAAATTTCTCGGACATTCAGGCTGGTGAATGTAGTCAATACTGTTTATTACAAACAGCGCATTTATTTAATATCTGTATGTATAAAAAGAACGTATAAACAGAAAATCTATTAAAATACTTGTCGGGGGCTCCTCAAGGCGGTGTAATGTTTTGCAAGCTTGTCTCGCTAGAACGGTTACGACTGAGTAGTGAGTTCGATCCTCACTGGGTGCCCCATACTACGCTTGGAAAATTGCTAAAATAATAATTGTCGGATTTCGTCTATTTCATAATATAGGTAGGAAGCCGTGGGTAAGAAATCCTAATAATACAAAATATGAAATCTGATCAATTTCTCCATCAATTTCTTCTTTCTGTGTGTCTCACTCCGTCTCTCTGAAAACAAAGAGAGCCATTCTTTTTCTTTTTAATGATTCTATTTTCTTATGTAATTTTTGTCCGATTTGGACAAGAGTTAAGATTATAGGTCATTGCTAATCTTCGACCGTCTTATCTTCTGTCTAGACTTGTGTATGTCCTCTCTTCCTGTCCCCCCTCACTACTTTGGTGTTTTCTTTCCCTTTTTTTCCCCTCTCTCTATCTCCCTATTCAATGCCTGTTCCCTTATTTGTTGTTTGTTCCTCTTTTTTCCTTTTCTTTCTTTCTATCTTTTTTAATTTTCAAATTTAAAAAAAACAAAACAAAACAAAACAAGAAAAAAAACAAAAAACGGAAAAACAAAAAAGGTTACGATTCATTTTTTTAACAAACGTTTTTAATATTGACAAGCTCCAGGGAATTTATCCCGGGGAGCGAAATGGCCTTCAAAATGGGTTACAATTGAGTTTCATTTTTATGTAATTCACACACACACACACACACACACATATATATATATGTATGTATATATATATATGTCTGTGTGTATGCGTGGGTATACAGAGAGAGAGAGAAATACAGTGAAGGCGAGAAAAACAGATACACAGACAGATAGGTAGAGAAAGAGAGAGACGGAGAAAGAGGGAGTGAGACACACAGAAAGAAGAAATTGATGGAGATGAAATAAAACACATATACAGTGGGGAATGGGATGGTGATGATATAAAGGCACAGAGAAAGATGGGAAAGAGATGGAGGCGAAAGAGAAATAGGGAGTGGAGAAAGCCATAGAGAGAAAAATGAAAAGACGGAAACGAAAGTAGGGATAGATAAGAGGGGGGAGGAGGAGGAAAAGAAGAAGAAGAAGAAGAAGAAGAAGAAGGAAGGAAGGAAGAGTAAAGTAACACGAGAGGTTAACGGGTATTCAAAGACAATTTGCAGAGACATACAAGATGAAAACACAGCCTGAGATAATGAATTGTTTTAGTTGTTAATACTGAAGGAATCTCCAGCTGTAAGTCAATAATTGCATAATAAATACTGAGACGAAAAATAATCTTTTCACATAGGTTACCTATTCATCCTGATATCTACTTTCGTAAATACTTGTCCCTTCAGAACAAAAATTCATTTTATTTGTAATTTGTGTGGAGCTATGTATTTCTGAGAAAGATAGAGGAGTAGTTTCTAGTTTTCCTTTTTCCTTTGTTTTGAATTCAGAGTAAATTTAGGCGGATATGCAATATGGTTGGCCCTGCCCTGGCGTCTCGTCTACAGTCACTTTCTCACGGACGCGCCGTCACCTCCCTCTGTCTGTTCTACAAATACTTTCATGGAAATTGCTGCGAGGAGCTGCATTCGCTGGTTCCCAGACGTCATGAGTTCCAGCGCCCTACGAGGCTGGCATCCCTCTCACCCCTCACTGTCAGAAACTCCTAAGTGTAGCCGTCTCTTCTACTCTAATAGCTTCATGTCTCGCACCTCTCGCCTGTGGAACTCCCTTCCCTTCTCCTGTTTCCCTGTGAGCTATAATCTCCAGCTCTTGGGGTGAAACGCTTAAAAAAAAATTGTGTGGAGCTATGTATTTCTGAGAAAGATAGAGTAGTTTCTAGTTTTCCTTTGTTTTGAATTCAGAGCAATTCTCCTAAATTGGTAGCCAGAGAGCAGAGGTAACTCTGCTAATCTGCGGAAGATTTCAGTCATTTCACGTGGGTAAAGTGTGAAACTGAATGTAACCAACACAGCCGGAATTTGAGCTCGACTCGAAAACTTGACTTTAAGTTTAGAGTAATGAGAAACTATGCCGGCCACCTGGCAGCTTTAACTAACAATTTGCCTTGATGTAAATGGTAACACAAAATATAAAATCCATATTCTGTAGAAATACTAAAGTCATTTCCCCGATAAATGCTAAATATATGACATGTAAATATGAAATATATGTCCTGAATATATATTAAGTGAGAAAAAAAAAAAAAAATGAATGCCCTGGAAAAATAATAAATACTTGTCTCGAGAAATACTAAATTCATGTACAGATAAATAAAAGAATTCATATTATAATGCAAAAGAGGAGGACGAAAAAGTATGTTAGATAACGGGAGATTGTCCACAGAGTAAGTATGCATGCATGCGTCTATGTATGTATGGATGTATGTATGTATGCATGAATCTATCTATCTATCTATCTATCTATCTATCTATCTATCTATCACTGTCTTCATATCTATCTCTATCTCTCTCTTTCTCTCTCTCTCTCTCTATATATATATATATATATATATATATATAATTAAAGTAAATGCTACGATCAGTATAATTTTACTTCATCTGATTTTTTCTATTGGTATATATATATATATATATATATATATATATATATATATATATATATATATATATTTTTCTCTGTATATATGTGTGTGTTTATATGTCAATGTCTTCATATCTATCTATCTATCTATCTATCTATCTATCTATGTCTTCATATCTATCTATCTATCTATCTATCTATCTATCTATCTATCTTCTATCTCTCTCTTCTCTCTCTCTCTCTCTCTCTCTATATATATATATATATATATATATATATATAGTTAAAGTAAATGCTACGATCAGTATAATTTTACTTCATCTGATTTTTCTATTGGTATATATATATATATATATATATATATTTCTTTTCTCTATATGTGTGTGTGTGTTTATATGTCAATGTCTTCATATCTATCTATCTATCTATCTTCGTCCTTGCTAACCGAACACTCCTCTGTGGCCAAATCGGTAAAGGCACGTCAAGCTAAATGACGGTTCCGTATATGATAAAGGTTCGAATCCTGTCGGAGGACGAATATTTTCTGTGAAAATTTCTCGGACATTCAGGCCGGTAAATGTTGTTTAATACTGTTTATTATAAACTGAGCATTTACTTAAATATTTGTATCTATAAAAAGAATGTATAGACATAAAAATGTCTTAAGATAATTGTCGGACTTTGTCCATTTCATAATGTGTGAAGTCATATAGATATATATATAGTTAAAGTAAATGTTACTTCATCTGATTTTTCTCTTATTATATATATATATATATATATATATATATATATACCTTTCTCACTCTCTCTCTATGTGTGTGTTTATATGTCAATGTCTTCATTTCTATCTATCTATCTATCTATCAGTGTCTTCGTATCTCTCTCTCTATCTATCTATATATGTATACATCGATCTAACTATCTATCTATATATATAGTTAAAGTAAATGCTACGATCAGCGTAATTTTAGTTCATCTGATTTTTCTCTTCTTGGTGTATATATATATATATATATATCTTTCCATTTCTCTCTCTCTCTCTCTCTCTATATATATATATATATATATATATATATATATGTGTGTGTGTGTGTGTGTGTGTGTGTGTGTGTGTGTGTGTGTGTTTTATATGTCAATATCTATCTATCTATCTATCTATCTATCTATCTATCTATCTATCTATCTATGCAATGCCTGCGTGCCTTTCCAGGCATTGTTAGTTGCTTCATTCCTAACTGGGACTTCAGTGGAACCCCTCTCAAAGATCCCTCTCCCCACACACAATCAAATTAAGATAGATAGTAGAGAGTTAACAAACCTTAAATAATAATACAAGTATCTATCTAATCAAGTGTGAATAGATAAGTTGAGAAAAGCCAGCTAAGATGCAAGCAAATACCTGTAGTGAGTACTAGCGCGATCATTCTCTGAATGGATGGAATGATGCATCCATCAATTTATAGAGAAAAAAAAATGGATAGATTGATAATCAATAAAATGCAACGCCTTTGTGTTATTCTGTCATTTTTATTAGTTTATGCATCATCTTTTTTTTTTTTTGTCCTTTGCTGGTCAGGGACAGTAAAGCGGGTATAAAGGGGAAGTACTTTTTTTAAAGGAGTGGGTAAGATGTGAAAGGCAAAAGGAAAGAAGGTGGAGGAGACGAGAATGAAGAAGTGGGCGGTAGAGGAAAGCGAGGGCGAGAAGTATGACGAAGGTAAGATGAAGACAGGAGAGAAGGATAAAAAGAGGAAGACGACGGAGAATAAGAATAAAAATTAGAGGAACAGTAGGAGAAGGAGTAGGATCGAAATACATAATGAAAAGAAAAAAAGAAAAAAACGAAAAGAAACTAATAAATGCATAAATGAAGATGGCGAAAAGAGAGAGCAAATAGAAAATTGAAAAGATGTAATTTCTTGATAGAAAAGAAAAAAGGAGGGAAGAAAAAAAGGAGGAAAGAAAGAAAAAAAATAAAAGAAAGAGAATGAGGAGAAAAGAAAGTTTAAGAATTATTAATTAGAAAAGGAAACGTCGTCTTAGAAGAGGATATCGAAAATGCAAAAGAGCTAAGAGAAAGAATGAAAGAAAGAAAGAGAGAAAGAGAAAAATAAACAGAGAGAAAGGAAGAAAGAAAGAAATAAATACAGACAGAGATGGACATAAAGAAAGAAAGAAAAGGAGAAAGAAAGAAAGAAAGAAGAAATAAATCGAAGTGTGATTATTTGAAAAATAGAATACAAAGAGAAGTTTTAGATGAAAGAACAAGAGACCACGAGTAAAGGCAAAAGAAGGAAAGAAAGAAAGGGACATAAAGAAAGAAAAAAAATTTACTCGAACTTGACGCATTTTAAAAAGAAAAGAGAAAAAATAACAAAAATGAAAAAAAAATTAGAGATAGATTATTAGAGACAAAAAAAAGAAAAAAAGGTAAGAATTTGAAGACGTGTAAGAAAGAAAGAAAAATAGACATACAGAAGTCAAATTATTTGCTATAGTAAAATAGAGGAAAACGGTAAAAAGAAGGAAAGTAAGATTAGAAGAAAGAATAACACACTGAGAAGTGTGAAAAAAAGAAAAAGATAAATTCATAGAAGGAGGAGGAGAGTTAGAAGACGAGGGAAAACGGAACTCGTGGGGTATGAAAAGAAATAAATTTGTAGTAGCAATCGTAGTAGTAATAAAGAAGAAGAAGAAGAAGAAGAAGAAGAAGAAGAAGAAGAAGAAGAAGAAAACGACAACGGCAAAGAAGCAGGTTTGTAATTTGTACAAAACATGAACAAAATCATAATCATAAAAGCGAACAGTGCTGAGAATGATATACATATATGGGGCAGAGAAGGAGTTGAGAAAGAAACGAGAGAGAGAGGATAGCATGAGAGTGAAGCCTTATGAAACATGAAAGAAAGTGTGGAGTAACAGCAGAAGATGTAAAGAAAGATGGAGAAGGCGAAGAATAAGAGAGAATGGGCTCCACACTGTGAATCTGTACGGATGTGGGCGCGATCGACGTCAGTGGATACACTTCTTTTATAAGGCGCGAAGTCAAGAACTGCTGCTGCTGGTTGTGATGACGTCATACAGTGCGCTTCTCTCATTGGCTGAAATTTTGCCCGGTGCATACACATGCGTACGCTTTCAAAAGACGCATACATACACACACGCACACTTGACTGAAACCTACCCCTTCATCAAAAAGCGTAACTTGTTTATAGAACCACTTTCGACATTAGTAACAGACCTGGACAAAGAAATTATGCCTGGACAAAGAGACGAAGGTTATTTCTTGAATGTTAAAGTTAATATTTGTAATGCAAAGAAATAAACATCATATTCCCTCAGTAATGTTCCCGAACATTGACAATACATTCTTGCTAATTTGAATGCATCTCAAAATTAGAATCATTAACAATATACTTATAAAAGTGTCCTATTATATTAGTAACGCTTTTACTAATTCCTTTTACAGTCTCTTCCTTTTATAATGCATTTCTATAGTAAATATACATATGCAGTTTTTTCTGTAGTAAAATTATTTTAATGCATTTCTATTAAAAAAAAATAGCAATTGTTCATCATGATGTATGCAAATCCTGCTGAAAGAACAGGTGAACTTCGACACGGTATAATGGTTACCATGCTTGTCTCGGTAGATCAGTTATGATTGAGTAGTGAGTTCGATCCTCTCTGTGGGCTCTATAATTCCGTCTTTGTGTCACATCAAAGCTACGCTTAGAACAACCACCACACGCTTTGGGTACATCAACGTAGAGTAATGGTTAGCAAGCCTGTCTCGCTTGATCAATTACGAATCATCATAATGAAAGAACAGAGCAGTTATATCTATAATATGTATTATTCTACAGTAAAATTTCCTGACCACTGATAAGCATTTATGGTAGGCCAAGAGGTCATCAGCATTTATGATAGGTCAAGAGGTCACCATGTCACGGTATAACTGATTTAGGTCCATGTTGTAATGATTGAAAGAAAATGCACATGGTGTTGCTAGATACAAAATAAATCTTCATAAAGCATACTATGAAAAATTTCTCATAGTTAACCCGTAGAAAAAGACGATGTTTACAGAGGTAAAAGCATACTATAATAACAGAGAATAAGGTTAAATATGAAGTTTCAAGAGCTCACGCATAAAAGGCTTTGTGCATGAGAGGGTTCGAGAGAAAGAGACTGGGTGTGAGTAAATAGATTTACATTATATATATTGGGGCGGGTAGAATGGAGATCAACGTGTTTTAGTGGACTCAGCAATTTTCAATCTGCTTGTCTGAATCATCGTCAAGAAGCGAGAGCAAGATCTAAAAGGTCAGCCAATCTAACAGTGATCTCATCTCACAATCCTCACATTTGCTCCATGTGGGGTCTCCTTTGTAAATCACTAGCGGGTCTTAAATGCCACTTAAGATTATCGCACAAACTTTCATAACTGAATCAATAAGCTGCTGTCAGATCCTCATACGTCGAAACCGACGGGAGAGTCCATTATATATATATATATATATATATATATATATATATATATATATAAATATGTTTGAATAAAAACCACCACGTTAAGATTCCATGTAATATGCTATTTCACCATAACCCCTTTAATAGGGTTCTGGATCATCAGACTTTACTTCCAAAAGCTGAAATGAAAATGAAAAGAAATTCACACGTTTTTTACGGACCTCATCAAGTATACGTAAAAGTTAACGAAGTGAGGAAGTGAGGTGGGAGAGAGGATATGAGTGTGTCATATGTATCATTTTAGTTTCCTATATATATATATATATATATATATATATATATATATATATATATATATATATATAAAATGTAAATCTGTTTAAACTGAAAAAAAACTGGATAGCACAATTAATGTAATGCAAATCTATTTAAACTTAACAAAAAAACACTGGATAGAACAATTTTCAAATAAATTGGCATCCGAGGAAAAAAAATGGTAAAAATCAAAGAACCAGAAACCTCAGAACAAGGCGAAAGAAATCATCCAGTACCTTGAATTTCTGGTACAAAGAAGAAGAAGAAAAAAACATCGAGTAATAAATTAAAACGAAAAGAGCTCAATACGCTAAGTAGAGCAAAGATAACATAAATATATCCTAATGAGCCAGAAACTACTTACCTATGTTGCACGACATGGGATCAGCTGGGTGTACTGGAGCCTGATCTGACACAATACCTTTCTTACTGATCTCAATGCATTTCTGTAGTAAAGCCTGTCACAACACATTTCTGTTGTGCATATAACATCCGATACTGTCATATATTAATTAAATACAGTGTAATCCGGATATAAGAGACCCGGATATAAGAGAAACCCGGATATAAGAGAGATTTTATCTGGTCCCAAATTAGAGCCTGTGTTACCTAAACAAAATAGACCAAACCCGGATATAAGAGAAACCCGGATATAAGAGACTTCTTCTCCGGTCCCGACAACTCTCTTATATCCGGGTCACACTGCATTATTATATATTATTCTTTTCTTTCAATTCATTTTAATTATTCTGCCTGACTTAATTTAAACTTTAAGAGAACACAACATCAAAACACGATCATCAGCAGCTTGGACACCATAGCTTTATGCTTCCGACTCCAGTTCGAACCTTCACAGCTCAGCTCGGGTCCGCCTCACCACTCACATTGTAGCAAACCACCCTCATTCCCTCCGGATTCCATTCGGAAGCAGTAACTTCCGCTTGAACAGCTTCCTCCCGCGAACAACTATTCTGAGGAACCAACTACTAAGATGATGTTTCCCCGATCACTATAATCTTAACCTCTTTAACTCTAGGATTAATCGTTAATCCGCCTCTCCTATCCGCATAAACTGCCTATTACTTTATAACCCTCTACCTCGTGTGCTCCCTTGTACAAGGTGAAAAAAAAAATCCACACACGAACTCAACCCTCACGTTGAAACACCGGTTCCCGTACGATCACAGAAGTTAAGCAACGTCGAGCTTGGTCAGTTATAAGATGGGTGACGGCTTGAATATACTAGGTGCTGTACACTTGGATGTGCGGGTGGTGTAATGGCTCAGAATCGTTAATGGGAGAGCCGAGTTTAAATTTCCGTTTGGTTCATTGTATACGCTTGCACGCAAATATCCTTAGGAAAGGTTTGAATCCACCTTTTCTCCTCCAGCTATTGGTTAATTACTAAGACTTTCATCACTAAACTATTATTATTCCCGCCACAAAAACATTTTTACAATCTAAAAACTTTAAATAACCTGAAAAGTGTTGATAAGTCGTAAAAAACAAATCAGTTGACTATATAACAGTAAAATATGGTAAGGTATCTAGTCTTACCAGACAACTTGGCGCTAATCATCCCCGGTCAAAATGGCGACTTTTTTATGGGGAAGCACAGTAACTGATGCTACGTTACCAATAATATTACTCTCATTGACGACTACGAAAATCAAGAATGCTAAAACATACTCCGTGTTCCACCATTTTCCTACAAATTCTCATGAAAGTAGCGAAACATGTCACATTTATTTCTATTTGTTCTTTAGTTAACGAATATATCGGATTTAATCTATATTTTTCAATTCATTGTACAGGGTGGTCTGAAAGTCTGGTCATGGCCTATATAATATAATTTTCTATTTCAGATGACTGACACGAAAAATATGGCGTTCATACAGACCTTCTCGATGTATTACAGCGCTAATGAAAGTGAATGTGCTTTGTATTACTGTATAACTTGTTCTGTTATTCTCATTCCTTTTTAGTAGGGGGGGTGACAAGTATTTTGGATCCCCCCCTGTACATTGCTTTGATGTGTTGTTCGATACGAGTGTTGAATTGAACTGTGAATTGATCCAATGCCCCCTTTCGTTGGAAAGGTTTTGTTCGTGTCAACGATCAGCGAAACCTTTTCTTGTAGCATCTGTGAACTCCTATAGATTTCACATGCTGCTGATGTCTCTATGATTTCTCTTTGCTACTTTTAGAAGACAAAAAAATGATAGTAATTGCTATAACTATTCTGTTCACAGTAATTATTCAAGGTTACAACGATATTAAATACTGTCCGTGTATTATGTCTACCACAACAATAATGCTACCGCCAAATTAATATTTAACTAATTGTACTACACATGTTTTATGGAGCAGATTTTACTTCTACTAGTTTATTGTCGTTTCTAAGTTTTTACAATTAATTTATATAAACAAAGATATATCAAATATTTTACAAATTTGGGTGAGGGTCCCTGACACCGAAACGAAGAATATATATGTTCATATAGACATAAGGCCGCAACTCCTTCGTTTTTTAGTTTAGAAAGTTTACGTTAGATTGCGCTGTTTTACCACGTAGACTAGGTTACATTTGTCATTCATGTACATTAGTAGCTAGTCTGTCTTCAACATTTACCGTGTGTAGTAGTGAGTTATATAATAGTATTGCTTTTCATAATGAAATTTGACGTAGAATATATATATATATATATATATATATATATACATACATACATATATATATATATATATATATATATATATATATATATATATATATATATATATATATATATATATATATATATATATATATATATATTATTAGTATTAGTATTAATCCTATAAGTATAAGAAATAACACTCAAAACCAAAGGGGAAAAAAGGTATAAAAAAAGAAAGAACCAAGAACATGTACGTTAGCCGAAAATAATCGTCTAGCATGCAAGTCCAAAGCCTAAAGAAAAAAAAAAAACGATACGAGTACGGAAAACAACTAAATAAAGTGCTCAATACAATAAGTAGAGATCTAGTTAAACCTAGAGAGCCAGACTGGCTGTCGTTCTAGGTTTAACTATATATATATATATATATATATATATATATATATATATATATATATATATATATATATATATATATATATATATATATATATATATATAATGGTAACAACAAAACTATCCGGCATGGGATAATTGCCCATCCACAAAATGTTTAATATCTAAAAAAAAAAAAAAACACTAAACTAAATGAGTTTCTTTTTTTTTTTTTCAGGTTTTACGATATTTAGCCATCTTGATATTTTCTTGTCAGCCCCACTATGTTTTTTCCCGATTGAGCAATGGTGAAATAAAAAAAAAACAGAAGATCATTCAGGCCTTCAGTAATAGTACCTAATTCATACACTGGCTTCCATCTTCAAAATCCATTCAAGAACCATCAAGAGAGCGGTGAATAAATTTTAAAAAAGAGGGAACAGTAGGGAGGAAAACTGAATCAACAGCAAGAGGGATTACATTTCAATTGAGAGCTAAATACATTGTTATTGTTCAAAGCAGAGTCCAATATTGTTATAAAACCTCTGAGAATTTCAATAAGATATCTTTTATCATTTCTAAGATGCAGCAGTTCAAAGCCGAATCTAACGATTGGACAATTTTGGTGTTACACGATTTGGACAATTTTGGTGTTACACCAGGAATATATATATATATATATATATATATATATATATATATATATAGGAAAAAGAAAACGGGAAATAGTGAGTATAAAGTGAAAAAAAACGACGAAAATGTCAAATAATTCTACAAGCACACACCAACGCGCAGATCAGCGTTCACGCCCTCCTCCGCACACATAGACGATAAAATAAAGAAATATAAATATAAACATAAAAGTGAACATTGAGGTGAACACTCAGAGGTGACAGGATGTTTCATGCTAGACGCAATCGCCAGGCCGCGAATCTTGGATTTTTCCTCGACTATTTATATGGGTGAGTGGTGCATTGTGGGTAATCTATTCTGGCGGTTATTTTTTGGGGAGTGGCTTGTTTGTTTATTTATTTGTTTGGCTTAATTTATTTTACTTGTTTTTTATTTTCATTTTGTATTATTTATTCTTTTCGGTTTTTGATGTTTTATTAACGTAGTAAAAAAAAATTGTGGGGGGATTTGCATAGGTCGCTTATTTAATAGTTTGTTTTGGTGTGAGAAGATAATTAAAGCTATTTATTCGTCCAATGTTTAGATTGTCTATTATGTTATTTTGGCGGGGGACAGTTTTTAATTTATTTCTTTGGGTTGCTTATTTTTATTTGTTTTTGCTTATCTGTGCTTGTTTTCATGCGTTCTCACCGTTCTAACGGTTATATAAAGGAAATTTCCTAGGGGATAGAATCCAGGTAGAGTTCAATGTCCAGGACAGAGCAAGAATATAACATAAAAGGCTCAAACACTAATATTCCATGGTTATAATTTATTACATTGGAATCGTAATCATGATCCAATTCATCAAACTTAAAAATTCAAAAATTTGAATTTCTAGGTCTGATGAATTGGATCATGATTACGATTCCAATATAATAAATTATAACCATGGAATATTAATGTTTATTATATATATATATATATATATATATATATATATATATATATATATATATATATATATATATATATATATATATCAATAGTCCTTAGAATAATTTAAGGCATGGCAGTTATAGGCCTACCCAATAGTCGTTTTCAATATATATTCCATATAATACCATTCCCCACCATATATAAATAGTCGAGCCAAAACACAATACACATGAACTGAACAATGCGTATAAGCCTGAATCAGACCGTCCCCTATGGGTGCTGACATCCGTGTTCATTTTTATGTAGATTAGCTTTATCCCTTACATTGAGCACTTTAATCCATAAATATAGCATACCTATAAAATTATATATTTATCATTATATATTTATGTGTGTGTGCGTGCGTATGTTTATCTGTCTCTAACTGTAAAAACAATGCCCTAGCATAATAGTTGCTATGAGTATAAAAACCAAAAGAAAAATAACACTAAAAAGTATCAATTAAGAACATGGCCTTAAATGTTTTGGCCCTGTTTAGGAAATACAAATATGTACACGTGTCCGTAATCTACATACTATTTGCAATATCACAACGAGTATGCTTTAAGTGGCTACTAGATTAGCCGAAAGCGTTCGCAACAAACAACTATTAAAGACAATTTTTGCATACACTGAATCCAGAGCAGTAATAGATTGCAAGAATACCATGTTATCTATGTTGTAATTTGCTTGTTCAGATGTATCAGCCTACATAACTTTGTAACCGTCAATAAATCAATATAATTTCGATCTGCTTTTTCTGACTATCGATCATTCTATAGATTTATCTAGATGCATCTTTGATCAAATGTTACATTTTATACGCGCGATGACCTATTTTAATTCAAATTATTGAATTATGCCTAATCTTAGATCCAGAATATATAAATCTGGCGTGGGCAGCAATTATATCGGAAACATTTTAATATTTAAAAGAAAAAAAATAGCGAACTCAAAAACCAAACCTTACCTTAACTCGATTCCGCTGTCTATTCTAAAATTGCATTGTTTTCGTTTTTTTTAAGACCAAGGGAGTATTTTGTATATTCTTTTTAAGGAAATTCCTTAACTAAGTATTAAATAAACGTACATCACGTGCCAGCTGCATTGAGTGTTTAGACTACAGTAACTCTTTTAAGATAGAATTTTAGAAGTGTGTCGGACATAGAAATTTTCAGCAGCCCCTCATAGCGTTAGATAAATTTTATTTAGAGTCGACATTATGTAGGTATAACGATGCAGAAAGAGCATATCTCACTTTGCAGGAGATAAGTCACATGATAGCCGCTTCGTGACGTCGTTCTATACAGTTACCCAAACAGCCGCCAAATGAGAAGGTAGTTTTCTTCTAAGGCCGAGGCTGAGGCTAAATCTGTCTCCCCCAGCAGCTTACAAGCATGTGGTGACATTTCACTGGAACATAGATGATTCCGGCTCCCGTTTAACTCTGAAGTCCCAAGTATCTCCACATCATATGTAGGACCTTTCCTTTTTGTTCCTACTTTGCTTTGTTATGATGATGTATGTGATATATAGTTCTCCACGCGGGGCATATATATATATATATATATATATAGTTTATGCAAACTTAGGTAATCCGTATGGGTAGACCCGAGGAGGATGATATCC